ACCGATTAACGAGCATACAATATAATTTTAGCACCAACAAAGTTATTCCCAAAGAACTATTATCAAAAATCCGGCATAACCCAGCAGGGGGTGCAGTGTCCTTAAAAATGCACATTTTCCTAGTAAAATATAAAGAAACGAGAGCTCCAAACTCCCATTATCTACAGCAGGTTTCTACAAACTGGGTAAAAGTATTGCGTGGTAACAGATGACAGCTACATGTGGCCCTCTGTTGGTGTAGCTTAACTACTGCAAAGATGTTGCGGTTAACTAGGGTAAAATAAAGTGATGTTACGGCTTACTAATCTCACTCAAATAAAGCAAAACACGAATGACTTTAAAGTCTGTGATATTTTGAACATTAAAACGGAGTCATGTGTACGCTGTGCAAAAATATTAATGTACATGTTGTATAAGTAGTGGTGGCCTGAGAGCGTATCTCGGCGCTCGTTGGTTGTTTCGTCCTGACCAGATCACATGACCCGACGTTACCCGCTTGTTAGCAGCTAGCTACGTTAGCGCCAGAGTTTACCAGGAAACGGAGAGCCCTGACGTTACCTCCAGACACGCCAAGGGAAGGAGCTGCCAAACAGATGTATTAAGATCATTTAAGTTATCTGGTGGCTTATTATTTTTATTCAACAGCTGCCTGGATCTAACTGTGAGGTACGTGACTTACACTCTTATCTGCATGAAAACCAGGCTAGCTGATCTGGTACCCTACATTAACCTAACTCCAGCTGTTATCTTGTTTTCCTTCTTCACGATAGCCAGCTCAGCTAACTAGCTAACTGGCCGGTAGTACCAACTTGGTGACTCTGTTATGTTACAGCACGTTAAAATATGTTTCGTATTGTGTACCAGGTAACTACAAGCTAAACTTTAATACCTTGTTTGCATCTTAATGTAACGTTATCGCATGTTTGGTGGCAGATAATACGTTATTGCAGTGTACCTGCTGTCCCGGGCCAACAGAAAAACTGAGCTCTTATCTCTGTATTACAGCTAGCTGAACGCTACCTGAATGGCCCGACTCTTCAACATTAAGGAAATGAGCATGTGACCAGGGACTGGGGTTTAACAGCACATGATCCGGACCAGTGGATGAGCTCAAAATCAACCTAGGGTGAGAACAATATGTTTTCAATGCCACACTTCTTCTTGCTGCAACTTTTTTTTTTGTAATGGTGTACAAATACTAACAGTATCCATCACGCACTCTTTCTACTAGGTAAACTATTTCAAAAGTGGTTGATTTGGGAGTAAATAGCCATGACAACAAAGACATCCTTGTTGAAAGTCATTCTGCTCGGTGACGGTGGTGTAGGAAAGAGTTCCATCATGAATCGCTACGTGACCAACAAGTTTGATGCACACCTTTTCCACACCATTGGGGTTGAGTTCCTCAACAAGGACCTGGAGGTAGATGGCCACCAGGTTACCCTCCAGATCTGGGACACAGCTGGCCAGGAGCGCTTCCGCAGCCTGAGGACTCCTTTCTATCGTGGCTCTGATTGCTGCCTGCTCACCTTCAGTGTTGATGATAACCAGAGTTTTCTGAACTTGGGCAACTGGAAGAAGGAGTTCATCTACTATGCGGATGTCAAGGAGCCGGAGAAGTTCCCGTTCGTAGTACTGGGCAACAAAGTGGATGTGACGGAGAGGCAGGTGTCTACCGAGGAGGCGCAGCAGTGGTGCAAGGAGAATGGTGACTACCCCTATTATGAGACCAGTGCCAAGGATGCCATCAATGTAGCAGTGGCCTTTGAGGAGGCAGTGCGTAGAGTGTTGGCAGTGGATGAAAGAACGGACCACCTCATCCCTACAGACACAGTCAAGCTTCACAGAAAGCCTCGCTCCACTGCCACTTGCTGTTCGTAACACCCAGGAGTTATCACCAACATGAATTCACTATTAGGCCCATTAATTGAGGATGTAGGTGTACAGTTCTGTAGTAACATCTTATTTAAACAAATTACGCTACTGTTATACTGTTGATGGTTTGATAATGCGAAGTGTTGGATTTGTTTGGGGGAGAAAAACAATGAAAAAACACTAAATTAATGCTAATGTCATTACAAATACAATTAAAAGCACTTGACTCAACACTGCCAAAGGCCATTAAGTCAGGCTTACGGGAAAAAAACCATTTTGTGTTGACCCAAGACAATTTATAGTTATAAATTAGAGTATTTTTCAAAAGGTTAAATGATTCCATTTTTTTTTTTTTTTAATATTTGTTTAGATATGTGCAACCTGGAGAGTGCAATTACTGTAGGGTCTCTACACTCCACTCCCTAATATTGTAATGCAGAATGGTGACATGATAGTAATGAAATAATTGCAGAATTGAAATAACATATCTACCAATAAACTTATTTCTGAAAATTATGAGGTAGCTAAGGAACTTCTTTGTATGACTAACAAATGGAAGCTTGTTATTAATGCACATTTAGGTCTTGTTTGTGCACATTCTGCATTGTGGATAGATTATGGCTGTGTGTTGAAAGCAATGATGGATGAATTAATTCCCTGAAATATTAAAACAGATTTAACATGCATGGCATTTGGAATATTTATGTTTCTGGAAACTTTTGTATTTTGTAAGCTCTTTTTATCATTGGAAAAAAAACATGAATCTAACTATAAGCAGAATAAATAATGGAGTAGTGACATTTTTTTCATTGATGGGATTATTTAGCTAATGAATGCACTTATTTTTAAAATATATTTTCAAGTTGAAAGTCTCCCCATAGTTATTTAAAACTGTGAACCATATGTTTAAGTGTCTTTTTTTTTTTCTTTCAAAGTTGTGCTACTGGCATGCCAAGTGATGAATAAACCCCCTGAAAATTGCCTGTTATGCATGTTTTGTAGACTGGAATCTAGCTGATAAATCAGTTTAATATTTCCTGTGAACATATCTGACTATGCTCTGCAGTAAGGCAACACTAACTTATAGATATTTTCTTTCTGGATATTTTTGCAGTGCACATGAAATTTGAAGCCATGATGTCACACAAAGCAGCCACATCCACTCTATTAAAAAAACAAAACAAACATGCACAAAGCAAAACACTGTTTATACAAATCCACTTTTGTTCTGAACACATTGAAGATTTTTAAAGAAGAACAGAAACAACTGTATTAACTATATACAACATAAAGACACTATTGAAATTCTTGTGTGAAGTGATTAACTCAGGAGATGCTTCTTCCCAAGGAACTGGACTTTCCTCTCAAAAGCAGTTGAGCGGATGGGCGCGTTGATTTCATAGAATGGATTCATTGCAAACTGAAAGACAGAGCAGGATAAGATTAAATGCTAAAAGCAAAATATACCAAATGTCACATCATGCTAAGATACTCTTATGACCTGGATAACGACTTACCTTGATGTATAAATCATAGACGTCGTTAAAAAAGTTTTTGATTCCATCTTCTTGTCGCATGTCGTGCAGCATGATGAATCTTATATGTGTTGCAAATAGTTAAAGAAAATAAAGACATGCCCATACACTGAATCTGTCCAGACACAATTATAACAAACTCATTAAGTCCCGAAATAATCACACTGGTGGCCCTGATTTCCATGTTTATATTACATATTAGATCATAGCTTTAAATCTCAATGATTTAAATGAATTAACATGTTTTTTAAGATGTAGATTAATAGAAGATTCAAAACTTGTGCTTGATTTTGGTTATTCAACTTAATGTTTCAATTACAAATACTGTGTATAAACTACACCACTGAAATTAGATTATTTAACAAACTTACCCCTTTCATAAGTGTAGAGCCCTTTGTTTTCAGCTGGGAGTTGTCTGAAGGTGCTATATAAATAAATTGCTTGCTCGCTTGCTACCAGTCTAAAAACAGTAATATCTTAATTAATGCTGAGCAAAGAAAAAATGTGTTTTCATCGGGCAACTGACACAGCATCAGGAAATAATTATCACATGAAACAGAACAAAAGGATATGTCCTGCAGTGACAAATGCAGAAACAAACCACTCGTTGAATTTGTCCACAGTTTTCAAGTACATATTGTTGGACAGCCACATATTTTCATCCACCAAATCCAGGGCTGCATGTGCAATGAACTGGTTTAGGTGACGATGATCATCCTGTAAGTATGATGTAAGCAAATGTAAGTAAGAACAGTTGTTTCATGATTTAATGAGAGGGGGGCAATTATTTTTTTTCCACATAGGGCCAGGTGGGTTTGATTAACTTTCTTTTTCCCCTTTAATAAACAAATGAATTGTTTAAAACTGCATTTTTAATTTACTCAGATTATCTTTGTCTAACATTGAAACCTGTTTGATTATTTGAAATATGTAAGAGTGTCAAATACACAAATAGAGACAAATACTGTGCTGTAGCTCAGTAATTGAGTGATTAAATTAAGCGAGGTTACCTTTGATTCGGGCTTCCCAGCTGGCAGGAACTCCATCTCAAACACAGGATTGTCATGATGACCAACCATGACAAAGTAAAAGCTTCCAGACATCGTCTTCTCCTCTTAGCAAAGATAAACTGATCTGAAATTAATCCCTCCACAACGAAATAAGCAAACTTATAAGTAGCAAATAGTGACAGCGTAACCTAAAATGACTGTAAACCCTCTGGATAGCAAGCTAGTACTAACCGCGGAGCTCCACGGATGCTTAAAGAAACTACATGCCTATTGTAAGACCAATATAAGCATTATATGAATAGAAACAATAGAAAGGTATGTCATATATCTGTTTTTAAAGGAATAAAACCGGCGTTTGTTTACCTGTTAGTTGCGTTTCCTGGATCGCAAGAACAGCAGTCGCAAAATGATGACATAATAAAGTAGCGAAATTTTTTTGTACTAAATCTTTTAAATGATGATTATTTTCTAACGCACTTTTAGAAATGCTATATGAAACACTAAATGCATATAATTAAATTATAATAAATACGTTTTTGGTTTTTCGATGTGACGTCATAATTGTGCGCATGCACGGAACCAAGCTTTTCCGTTGACGGTGGATTTAAATGTTTCAAGAACAAGAAAAGAGACGCGAAGGTTTGTGGTCGTCAGGTAGGTGAGTATTTTCTTCTTAAGATACACATGGTGCACATGTTGCGAAGATAGAGGAATACAATTTTGATAACAGCCAATAATACTTGGGAAAGTTTTTGAAAGCGAAGGTTTTTATTCTCACGTTCGCCGTCCAATAGTCTGCTTCTGTTTGTTTTATGTCAGGTCTCGCAAAGATCCCAGCTATGTCCTCCTCTAAGGAAGATGCGTTATCCCCTGACGAGCTGAGGAAAAGACTCTATCAGACTTTTAAAAGTAAAGGAGTTCTTGATACACTCAAGGTAAGCAATGTTAATAACGGTGCTGTTATTATTATACATTGCTGTGAAAAAGTATTTGCCTTTCTCGATTTTTT